TTGCCGGGTGACATTTCTGAATGGATAAATTAAGAGTCACTGTCTTTACTTGAACGAATTTTCCTTTGTTTTACTTTGTATAATTTTCCACTTGGTATTACCATTGAAAACATTACGGCCACCATTACCACCAAGTTTATCTGTATTCAGCACGTTAAAAATTGTTTTCTTAGTCACCAATTATCATATCTATACTTTTCTCACAAGGACTTGAATTATTATTTGCTCTTTGTGTATTTTCATCAATTATTTTGAATTTGACAGTTAAATCTTGAAAAACACTATATCCTCTTAAAAAGTTCAGAGAAAATAAGGATTACCTTTACCAAACCCGACACGGAAGTATTTGATATAATTGATAAAAATAATTGAAATCAGATATCATTCATTCTGCATGTCTTGACAACAGATGGAACTAAAATCAGAAAAATCTTAGTACGGAACAACATCAAATATATGAAATATATACTTTTATAAATTGCATATTTTTTATGTAAAAAATGAACTATTGTAAGTCAAGCATTGAACAAAACACAAATATCTTTAGATGTGTCTAAACAAACATTTTAACCACCAAACATTTCACATCATAGTGCTTGCGCATGTTTCAGAACGACTTCATAAGCATGATTTATACCTTATTAACTGTCTTATGGGTAGCAAATAACTCACTGCCACACTGGGACTCTTTTATCACTTATTGTAAATTCATATCTCAAAACATTACCTGTTATTTTGACCAGTCAGCCGTCATCCTTTTAAACTCACTGTGGAAATTAATTTATATAAATTATATTGTGAATTTAATTAAGTCACACAGTCATTAGCATTATTTACCTCTTTATTTATATATTCAGACACAATGTCCTCTGTTAGAAATGTTTGCAACGATCGTTATATCGACTTCGTTTTTCTCGATATATCTCGGTGAAATTTGAAGGTCCCAATTTTCTTCCTTCTTTATCTATATTGTAACTATTTGTTTATCTCGATATTTTTATTTCGATATTTTCAGTAACAGTTATTTTCACTGTTATTGCTTCACTATAGTGGTGCATTACTGAATAAACCGCACTATGTGTATTTATCACAGACCCCCGTATTTCCGCTGGAACATGTAAACACCCGCTAATGTAACTTGTCTAAATATAGGCTTTGCAATATAAGGCACAAGAACAAGACATGGAGATATCATACTTGGTTAAATATTAATTTTGATTTACGCCATGCGCATGTCTTTTGTAGAAGTCAATTTCTGTATGGCTCAACACTTATACGTTTATCTCGACATTAAGTTATCTCGATTTTAGACAACCCCGATGACTTCACGATAACGTGTATCTATGTTTGAAAATATGGAAATAAATATTGTTTAAACTAAACATTGTTTTTATTAATTTTTTAGCAAGGGGAGTTAATAGGCTGTTGAATAAATGTCTTTTTTGGCGTTTAACGTGTATGAATAGACGCCGGAGTCAAAGGACACATACATATCATTAATACTAGCTCCAAATTTGGCTGTTTTGGTCGTTATTATATTTTACACAAAAGAAGAAATAATATAGCTGTTCAAATTCAAAAACGAAACATGTCTGAATTCTTAGTGACAGTATTGCTTGTCATTTTAACAACCATCTAAACATGCTCTTTTTTATTGATTATTCCCTGCGGTCAGGAGACCGCAGCGTATTGGTTCGCGTTTAACTTTTGAGGCATGGAGGAGCACGTGATCTGTTTTGGGTACATGGAGGAGCATGTGATCTGTAAACCGTATATGATTGGTTAATTGACCTTTTCGAAAACTTAGCTAAATACCGTGCGCCGGTACGTTACGGATTTACCTCTAGGGTCATAGTAATTAAGAACTAAAAACGATTACGTTGTATTTCTTTGTAATAATTATTTTACAGTTTAAGGTGGAAAAACTTAAATGATGTGTTTGAAAATTTCAATGTTTCTTTCATATCTATCTCAAATTTTATAAACAATAAATTGTTTATAATACTGAAAATCTACACAATTAAAATATTCGTAGTGGCATCTGGCATAATAAATAGACATTTTCTGCGTAAACTTGTGTGTTTAAATTATTTTTTGCTCGGAATTAGTGATAAAATGGTAGGTATATTTAATCATTTTCTTAAAAAGAAATAATTGTTTATGTTCGGCCTTCTCCGGTCTTCAACGGTTACCAGTTTCCAAAGAACTTCTTCTATATTGATCGATTATTATTAGCTCTATTCCTGATGCAAACGTTTATTTATCCCCCTTAACAATGTTGAAAATAGTTAAATGAAATATCTTTATATCATTAAAAATGTTCCCCGCAGGAAACCATTTTACTTGTTTCATTGCTAGATCAATATTCGGTTGTTCCGAGCTTTAGAATAATGCATTTTATGAATTGGTTTCATGCTTATACAGCTAATGTATGTCGAACTGTGTGTGTATTAAGTCGAGAAATATGAATACTGAATAGTGAGATCGGCATTTCGACTGTCAAATTAACATCTATAATGTCGAGCGATGCATACCGAATGTCAAACTAGGTATTCAGAATGTCAAGTTATGAAACCGTATGTACATTCGCTCACATATAACAACGTAGCATAAAGTTCGTACTGGTTACCTAGATGTAATAACTAGTAATCGGGCCAACCATTGAACAACATTTGCTCTTTACAGAAATATAAGGCACACGCTTAAGCCTAAGGGAAATGAGACTAGAAGCCCATCAGGCATGGGCGTTTTAGGATGGGAAATTCGTTCTTCCTGTATATAAAGTATATGAAGTTTCGTAAAAAACAACTTCATTTTCTAGAGCCAACAGTAAAAACATATTGTCTGATAATATAGCAATATTAGGCCTAAAGGCCTCACCAATTGTTTTGATTGCCGAATTGTTGTTCGGGTATATCAAATGTAAGTTCGTAAAAGACCTTTCTTTCTAGCCAACCTGTAAAAAACCATTTGTCTGATTTCTTTGCGGATTTGTTTTTCCATTCGTTTGAGGGTTTTTCATTTTAGCAAAATAAGGTCCGAAGCTCTTACCCCAAGCAAATTATACAAGAGTGTCCCGCGTGGCATTATCATTTCTTGGATCGGATATTTCAAATTGGATTATCAGTTTTTTCTGTATATAAATTGTATAAACCTTCCTAAAAAGCACACTTTTCTGGATAAAACTACTATTTGTCTAATAACGTTGCACATTTAAGCCGTTACATTACTTTTGAGGACATTCTTGACAGCAATATAAAGCGCAATGCTCCAATCTAAGGGAAATGTCGCCGAGAGGCGCGCATGGCAAGTTTCATATTTTGGTTTGGAAATTTGCCTTCTTCTGTATATTTTTAGATCGATTTAAAAGTTCGCATTTTGGAGACAAAACCCTTTTGGAACCGAGGACCATATTATTTGGAATGATCACAAAACAGGTGTCTTTCAACTTTAAGAAAACCTAATGATCAGTGACAAAAACGTGTTTTAGAGCACGTTCTTACAGTAATTAACGTCAATCAGTGACCCATGGTCAAATGAACGCTACGCGCTTAAAAATATGAAGTAATGATCTAGAAGATTATATTTGTTTCAAGGGTTTTAACAGCAATATAAGGCTCAAACATCTAACGCATATCATCCTGTGATAATTTCGCTTTTTAGGCCGGCAATTTGTCCCTCAAGTAAAGTGTAACAATTAACGTAAAAAACTAAATTTTCTAGAGAACCGTTACAATTCCATTTGTCAGATTCCGTTTCTGACTCATTTTTTCATTTATTCCCAATAGTTTTGAAGGACTTCTTTACATCAATGTAAAGCCAAAGGTCCTAACCCTAGCAAAATGTCCGAGAGAAGCCCGTCTCTTGGCATGATCGTTTTTCCACCGTCGAACGTTCTTTCTGTATATTAAGTTATTAAATTTTTAAAATATAATAATCTCTGGCCAACTGAAAAAATCCATTCGTATAATTCCGTTGCTGATTCATATTCCCATTAGTTTGGAGTGTTTTCTTTACATCAATATAAAACCTAAAGGCCTTATCAAAGCAAAATGTCCGGGGAAGACCAGTCTGGCATGATCTTATATTTGGATTTATAATGTGTATAGATTTTCGGTAAAATCTTAAAGAAACTCCGATATTTTCTCGAGCTAACCGTTAAAACACTATTTGTCAGATTCCTGATGTTTCGCTTTTCAATTAGTTTGGAGAGTCACCTTTACAGCAATAGAAGGCCGAAAGCCCTATCCCAAGTAAAATGTATGGGAAAGGCCTGTGTCGCAGCTCGTATTTTGTTCTTTCTGTACATAAATGTATCAATGTTATTACGGAAGCAAATATTTCATTGAACTATCAAATTTTATTTTTTCTGCCATATTCCATCAAACTCGGACATTTTAGAAACAACTTATTTTTATAATTTTAACTTTTAAAAAAAATAATTTTAAGACTTAATCAGTTCATTTCAGTTTTTAACATTCTACTATTTCATTCTTTACAAGAGATGCGGTTGATGTAATTTAAAAAAAAGCCAAAGATTACAAACTTATCATTTATAGCTGTTAATGTGCTTTAATAGATCTTGATATATCTTCGAAACATAACATCATTTCAAATTTAAGATGAGGTCAAAATTTCTTTCTTTCAAAACATAATATGTTATTGTTTTGTATTTCAAAAGATTTACGAAAAATGGGCCATAATTAGGTTATTATAAGACTTGAACATATAAGTTGTTAAATCATTTCTAGTTGCTTTACACCTTAACGATTTTCAAATGTAAAGTTCATGCATATTTTGTACGGAGCAGCTGTTATATCCAACCTATTGCCGCCGTCGTTGATGCGGCGATCGATAAAGCACCTAATAAAACCCGTTTCAGAGTTTTGAAACATCCGATGAAGAACCTTTTAATTGATTGCCATGTGCCTCGTTTGTTCCATGTGAGTTCTGGGTAGTCATAGATATTTAATCCAATGTGAACCTCACCAGACGGATTAGAAACGGCCTGAAGAACCATGGCATTTTGGTCTTGAAAACCAATAGTAATTTTGGCATCATCAAGATCTTCTTCTGCAATCTTCATCCGCGCAAAATTATATAATTTTCTATCACGGTCTGACATTCCAATTCTAACATTTCGAACTTCACGAACGTATGTATCAGTAGAAACCTGAAAAAATATAACTGATAACTGATTACAAATGCATGGAATTTTGTGTGACAAAAATCGTTCGAAATTAAATGTCAGTTGTTTTTCAAACCACTAAGGCAAAATACAATTTTGCGGAAACGAAGTGAAATGCAAATATTTAATAGTTTCATACTGAATTGCGTAATAGAAAATTGAATTATCTTTAAACATAATTTTACACCTGCGAAGATTTTAAGATATCACATGCATGTTCAAAGCATTGTTCATTTGAATACCTAAAAGTATGTGAATTGCATTTGAATACCTTCGTTATAAAATATTGTATATCATGAATTTTATCAATAAAGGAACCATCATACTACTAGTATCATTTTTATGGTCTGTTCTTTCAAAAAAGAAGAAAAGATTGACATAACATTTTATAAAATCGTCAAAGAATTTTTTTAAATGATAGAACAGAGCATAATCTTTATTGAATAAACACTGATTATAAGGTTACATTTTGAAATTACATGAACGCAAAACATATATCAATCTAAGGGGTATCTGTATTGCAAGTTTCTTTTGGGGAAAGTTGTTATAATAAACTTTTATATTTTACAGATGAATAAAGAATGTTTGCAAATGTACAATTGACACTTAATATAGGGGCATGTTTTTTTTTTTTTTACAAATGAACACATTTAAGCTCATATATTCCAGAAAAAATCTTTAAAAATGAGAGGTGCATTCCCTTTGGTAATTTAGAACATTTTTAAAAATACTGTATATGTGAGGAGTATTGTTTTAGACATTCCTTAAGAACTAGCAAATACTGCTGGGTAGGCGTGATCGCTACTATACAAGAACAAAAACATCAATAACATTTCCATTTACTTATCTTAAGAGCACAGTGTGCAGAATGGCAGAAGGTTATTTCATTTCCCAAAGAATAGTATACGTATCTAATTTATCGGTTATGTAAATCAATTAGATTAAAGAACAAATATCATCTATGTCCTGAATGGATTTCCAGATTTCATCCATTTGGACTGAACAATGATTCACGCGCTCATTAAATCGGTGTGTGTTTACTTTGGCCTAAATATATACACACAATAGGTCCAGTGCAAGTTGGTACCTAAATATCATTTCATTTTATTGGCAAATCGGCAAATAAACATTACCTTTGGCCATTAACAGAGTATCATGACAAATATGGCCAAAACTTAAATAGTTACAAACATTATATCATACAATATATAACAAAAGAGTACAAGAATGAAACTAAGAAGCAGTTACATCTTCAAGAGACTGTTGCCTCAACTTAAATGCATTATGAATATAGTGAGCACATTTAAGAATAAGCTTTTTGTTATTAGTGGACAATATAGTCGAAAATTTTTGTATAGTAGGCCATGAAATGTTTCCTAAATATTTGGTTCTTATAACAGTATAAACTGGACAACATAAAAGGAAGTGGTATTCTGATTCAATTGAGTTATATATACATATTTTACATTTGCGATCATTTCTATCAATATTCAAAAATCTTCCAGTTTCTATTTCTAAGTTATGCAAGCCTAGTCTGAAACAAGCAAAATCTTTTCTTAACACATTATTTGTTAATACATCAAGATATTTTTCATAACAAAAAAAAGTTTTAAATTAGTATCGAAAGCTTTCTCGTAGTCGATGAATGCGCAATATAGTTTCAATTTACAATTGACTATATTTTGAATAATAGAATGGAGTAAAAATACACAATCTGTTGTAGATCTATTGTCTCTAAAACCGAATTGAGAATCATTAAACACTTTTTGCTCTTCACACCATATGTTTAATCTATTTCTAAGAATAAGTGAAAACATTTTAGCAAGTACATTAACAAGTGTGATTTCTCGATAATTGGAAGGATTTGAGATATCACCTTTTTGTGTATCGGAACAATAATACCTTTAGACCAGGCACTTGGATAAATTCCATTATCAAATATTTTGTTAAAAAATACAACAAGATATGAAGCAATAAACGTGTTTGCATCAATAAAAAAATCTGCTACAATTTTACTATAATCATCACTCTTGTGTCTCTGCATAGAACGTATCGTTTTAGTGACTTCCTCTACAGTAAATGCGCAATCTAATTTATCAATAAACATCTGTTCGGGTCTACTCTTATGCTCATCTTCCTGAGAATAATAAGGCTGCTGATTGTTAGAGATATTCTTAAAATGGTCTACAAATTCAGATATATTAACATCAGATACATTTGTGGAATCCTTTTTTTCTAAATTTATTTATATACTTCCAAAATTTCCTTGGAATATGTTTACTCATGGAAGACAATTTAACTTTTTCCTTGTAATTAAAGTTACGTTTTGCTTTCTTTTTTGCATTACAAAATACACGCCTACTATTCAAAAAATTAGCACTTTTTGCTTCAGAAGGATTATTTTGGAAAATTCTTTTATTATTTAAGAAAGATTTTGCCTGTTTACAACTATTGTCGAACCATGGCACTTTTTTAAATTGCTTTTTAGTGTTAAAAGTTTTACCATTCATTTTAAAAGATATATCATATACAATATCTGTAAAGTTATTTATACACATATCAATATCAATTACATCAGAGGCTAATTTAACCGATAATTCATACAATAATATTTTTTTATCGTTCAACAATGCTTGAAATAAATCTGGATCAGTATCAGTCCAAACAATTTTATCATAAGTCAATATATCAGTGTGGTAAAATATCATATGCTCACAATCTAATGAAAAAACAAGTGGGCAATGATCAGAAAATTCTGTCAATTCCAACATTCATATTTGAAAAACTTGCAAAAGTTCTATAGTCAGTTATCAAATAATCGACAACACTTGCCCCTTTCACATTCCGACTGGCATTGTAGCAAGTAAAATCTCCTCTTTCAAGGCGACCGTTACAAATTAAAAGGCCATTTTCTTTGCATAAGGCTAACAGTTTATTTCCGAAGACGTCCACAGTGTTATCACGAGAAAAGCGTGCAGGTATTGCTTGTATAGATCCATCGTCATTCCGCATATCAATGTAACGGTCGAGGTTAATGTTCTCAACATAATCCAATCTTTGACCTGTCCTGTCAAATATGTGTCAACCAGATATTCATACTTGATGATATCAGCTTTTAATTGCTCAAAAAAGTCAAATTGATATAATTCAGGGGAAGCACTTTTGTACACATTGGATTCATTTGGCGGAATGTAACAACTACATAAATACTGGTCATTTTCGGTCCCAAAATATTCTTTCTTTAATTTAATCTATACTATGCCTTTCATATTCAAACTAACAAGCTCAATTTTGTTTATATACTTATTATTGTAATAGATAATAATACCGCCACTAGAGCGTTTAGCCTTTTTATTAGATTTAGGTCTAGGACATGAAAAGTGCTGATATCCATATGTTTGAATATTAGTTATTCTAGAATGCCAGGTTTCAGTAAACAAGAACACGTCATATTCATTAATTAAATTCAGGAAGTCACGATCAAACAACTTATTTATAATACCTTGAACGTTCCAGGATAACACTTTAATATTTTGTTGCTTCTCGGCATTATCCTAGTTTGATGGTGAAATGAAGCGCTGGCCATTTATAAAAAGTTTATCGTAAGCTAGGACAGCGTTCTTATTTTGCTCCTTTGCACTTACAAGATGCGGAATGAGTTTCCTTCTGCGTTCCTGTATTATCTTAGGATATTGGTCGCCCACTTTAACTGTTTAATGCCAGTTTCCTCTTGTTTGGAATAAGCGGTCTGTTTAACAGAAAGTTTATCTTGAATAATGTTAAATTTGGCGACAATAGGTCTGGTCTAAGTGGAGGAGAAACTGCCTACACGGTGCGCACGGTCTATTTTTACATTGTGTCGAAAAACAGGCATGCCCAATTTGTTTTCACAAAAGTCATATTTTATCTCTAAACATTTTTCATTCTTGCGCTCTTCAGGGGACGACAACTCTTTAAAGTTGTAGAACATAAGGTTGTCTCTCATTGAGCGAGACTGAGGATCCACAAGCTCATCGGACAATCTGCTATTTTCGGATTTTAATTAATCAAATTTGCGCGAAAGCTTGGAGTTGGTACGCTGTTAGTCGTGGAGGCTTGAATCTATTTTGGCTTGTTTCTGACATATTTCCTCACAAATTTGCACATCATAATTTCTGCTTGTCTGTATATCATTGATTTTGCGTGACGATTCGCGTAATTTGCTTTCAAGCGAGGACACTCTATTGTCCATTAAAGTTAATTTTTGCGACATAGTTATGATCCGGCTTTCAATAGAATCTAGTTTTCTTAACCGTAAATCTATCGCCTCGTGCTTCTCCATAATAGTTTGATTAAAGTTCAAAGAGGTTTGTTGAGGGGGTGTAGCAAAAGCCGGAGAGTTCATGTAACTTTAAATGCTGGGGTTGTGGGGGGGGGGGGGTAGTTCGGACCTTGGCACTGTGGAATCTGTGATAAAAATGTGCCCTGGGAGGAGAGTAGACTGTGTGATTTCTGGTCTGCCATCGTAGATCGTTTGTCTGGCTGAATGCTTAAATAATTTGGTGAAGACTCAGATTTCGTACGCTTCTTATGTCCTTTCTTACCACCCATTTAAAATGGAATCGTTTACAAAAACATCATCAACTACGAAAAACGTCTACAACATCCAAACTTGTACATCCAAAAGTTTGTTAACTGACAGAAAAGCTTAAATAAATGTATAATTTTTGAAATTTGTAAAAATTTATTTTATCAAATTTTTTTCCAAAACAGACGAAAATTCCAATTTTTTTCAATGTTAAAAACCCGGGAACTCAAAATAAAACTGCCCCATATTTGCACTGATATTATATATAACACATGTATTCAAATAGCGGCTTCAAGTTTTAAATCGGCAATTTTAAATGATTTCAAAGGGGGCGATTTCTGCCATTCCAAGTCTTTATTTACTCGTCCCTAGAAAGTCGAAGGCTTTTAATACTTTTTCATCAAATTTTGTTTCGGAA